TTGAACGTTGGCCAATTCTTTTTGGTATAGACAGTCTGTGTATTTCTTCCATCTTCTTTTGATGCTTCCAGCATCATTCAATATTTTGCCCCAATAATCCTTCAATATTACAAGTCACATCTTGAATTTTCTCTTTTCAACTTGAGAAATACTGATTGTGATCTTTGCCCATTTTATTATAATACGTGACTTTGTCTTCTCAAGCTACCCTTTGAGATTAGCTGTTTAAATCTTTGATTTCATCATTTCTTCCAGTTACTTTAGTTTATCTTTGCTCAAGAGTAAGTTTGATAGTATCTTCTGGCATTCATATTTCTTTCCTGTCTTTTTCATCATCTTTTGCTTTTCATGATATTCATCATGTCATCCCACAACTCTTCTGGGTTTTGGTCATTAGTATTTAATGCATTTTGTGCCCATTCCAAGAGAAGTGACCCAATGAAATGTGGAAATCATAGGACAATATCATTAATATCACATACAAGTAAAATTTGGCTAAATAATTCAAAATAAGCTACAAGAGTACATTGATAGGGAACTGCCGGAAGTTCAAGTCAGATTCAGACAAGGACGTGAACCAGGTCTATCACTGCTGATGTCAGATGGATCTTGGCTAAAAGCAGACAATACCAGAAAGATGTTTTCCTGAGCTTTATTGACTATGCAAAGGCTTTTGACTATGTGGATCATGACAAGTTATGGGAACATTGCAGAGAATGAATATTTCGGGACACTTAATTGTGTTCATGAGAAACTTTCACCTAGACCAAGTGGCAGTTGTTCGAACAGAAAAAGGGGGCACCGAGTGGTATAAAATCAGGAAAGGTGTGCACCAGGGCGATATTCTTTCACCATATTTATTCAATATATATGCTGAGCAAATAATTTAAGAAGCTGGATTATATGAAGAAGAACTTGACATCAGGATTGGAGGAAGACTCATTAACAACCTGTTAAATGCAGATGACTAATCTTGCTTGTTGAATGTGAAGAGAACTTAAATTACTTACTGATGAAGATCCAAGACCATAGCCTTCAGTATGGATTCCACCTCAATGTAAAGAAAACAAAAATCCTCACCAATGGACCAATATATAACATCATGATAAATGAACAAAAGACTGAAGTTGTCAAAGACTTCATTTTGCTGTGATC